CGAAGGGACTTGAGGACACATTGTTCAGTGCCTCGCGGCACGGTGGCGGATCGGATTGCGAATCGGCAGCGGATCTGTTTCGTAATTGACAGCGCACCTCTGGGAACGGTTATGGATTTCCCAGGGCAAGGGTTCCGTCGGCTCTGCAGATGGTGGAGTCCCCCAGCAGCCAGCAAGGCTGCTAGTCTGCGAGGGCTGTCGGAAACAGTCTTTGGGGTTGTGACGGCGAAGCGTTCTTGTTGTTCCCAGTGCATTTCCATGTAGATTAGCAAGGAAGCGAGGAAAGAGGCGCCTTCAGATTTGCAAGAGCCAGGGTGTACGCACCTGGGGACAGACGGAGGCAGGGCCGGCAGACCATGACAAAAACTGAAAACTAGTTTTGGTAGGTGTCCTCTTCGGCGGGCCCAGCCGAATGTGATCTTGCATCTCGCGTCAGCCTGGGCCGTTCTTTTCTCTGCTGCCGCCGCCTGTCACACCCCTCCATGCTGACAGAGGTCGCTGCCCCCGTTCTTGCACACAGCCAGGGGCGCCATGGCTGCTTCCTTCGGCCAAGCGTCGTGGTGGTGTTGGCCTCTGCGGTCACCTCGCACCGAGGCCCGCTCCAGACCGGTATCCCTCTCACTCCTCGTCTGTGTTTGCAGCGGCCCTGGCGTGCCCTGCCAGCGCCCCTTGGCGCCCTGAGTCTTGCTATGAGAGAGAGAGGGAGAGACAGCGAGAGAGAGAGAGAGAAGGAGAAAGAGCGAGAGAAAGAGAGAAGCTGGTCGGGTGAGAGAGACAGCGATGACCCATCATCAACGTGTGTGGCGGCAGTGAGCCGCACTTCCGCTTTGGAATCCGGACCCGCTGACACATCAATGCCCTAAGCTGAAAGACATAAAGCCGACCATTCTGGTGCTCGGCCTGTTTCCGGCGGCACCCGACCTTGCGGGACGCGGCGATCAAGGTTGCCGAGCGTTGCTTGCTCTCCGCCATGCTTTTGAGACCTCGGCTGTGGAGGCGCGTGGCCTACGGAGCAGCGCCCAGCAAGGAGGCCGAAGTTCTTCCAGGACCCATGCAGACCAGACCAGAGCTCAGTGGGCCCTGGAAACGACAGGGCCGTTTTCTACCGGTTCCGTTTTGCCGTTAGTTTGCCGGTTCCGACGCCGTTTTTTTACCGGTTCCGTCGCCGTTGTTCTGCGGGCTCTTGCTCCGGTTCCAATCCTGGAGCCGTTTTTGGTGCCGTTTCCCCGAGAAATCCGCGCGGACCTCCGAGTTGTTATGTTTATGTCATTGTTCGTTTCCCTAAAGGAGGTGGATGGTGAGGAGGAGGACGGGGAGGAAGAGGAGGAAGAGGATGACCCCCTGCCCCTCCTACTGATGGTGGTGGTGGTGGAAAGCACGCCCATCAGGAATCGTGAGGGGTCGAGGCGTGTCCGCTCCCGCGAGCGGCGAACCTGTCCGCATCCGCGCCCCAGCGGTCCGGATCCCGGGGCGCGCTGCCGCGGATGCGCGGTCGCACGGATACGCGCCGCACGTGGCAGCCGCGAGAACAGCCCGGTGTCCGCGGGGTCGCGGCCCAGGGGCCCCGCCCGCGAGGCCGCGGGTACGGATAGGGTTTCGCCCACGACGTTCTCCGTTGATCTCGTCGTCGCATTCCTCCGCTTGGCTGTCTTATTCTGGAGCGTATGCGTTTTGCAAAATTATGTCGTTTTTGTTTCGTTTCGTCGTCGTCTCCCTTCCCCCTTCCGCGAGCTTTCACGCTCATGAGTCGCACAGGGATCCAAAGCGCATCCCGGTCTCCGGCCCAACCGCCTTGCTCCCGCAGTAGGGAAACAAACAGTGACATTCAAACTCTGAGGTCCGCGCGGACCTCCGAGTTGTTGTGTTTATGTCATTGTTTGTTCCCCTCTGTAGGGCCGTCCTTCTGGATGTCTGCCGGCACCTGGCCGCGCCCTCGCCCCATGCACCGCCGCCCGGCCCCTCGTGCGCGCTCGTGGCGCGCGCCGCTGCTGCCCGCGCCCGCGTGGCCGGGCGGCCCAGTTCTCCAACGTCGTGAACCTTTTGATCCACCTGGTCAAGGATCGGGCGGGCGGCAATGGGGGGCGACCCCAACAGGGGGAGGGGGAGGAGAAGGGCCCTGAAGGGACCCTTGAGGGCTCCTTGTTTGTACCCAGCTGGTGCCCTAAACGGGGCCCCTTTGGGGCCCTTGTCCCTTGTCTGCACCCCCCATTCGGGTCACCTCCCATGTGGGTGGACCCCTTTTTCTGCACCCCCTTTCAGGCCCTTTTCTTCCCGTCCTCTAGGGCCCTTTTCTCCTCCCTTTTCTGGCACCCCCTTTAGGGCCCTTTTCTTCTCCCCTTGTCTCCCCCCCCCATGTGGAGCGTGTTTCTTGGTTGCTTGGGGCATAATGGGCATGATAGCCCCCGCCCCCCCCCCTTCCCCCCCCCCCTTTCTAACGTAACGCCCCACCCACCCCCAGTGCGCTCCTGGCACTGCCGCCGTGCGCACGGCGAGGGTGAGG